GGGAGAGCATAAATGTCTCTTTGTTAGAGCCACCCACTTGTGGTATTTCTGTTATAGCAGCAGTAGATGACTGAGACAGTGACCAATCATCCAATGACAAGCCCGTTCCTGACTTTCAGGCAGGGTTAGATGTTGTGCCACATGCATTCATTCAACACGTATCAAGTACCTAAGAAAAGGTGGAAACAATACAACAAGGCTGTCTGTTCTCACTACTTGGGGGGAAAAGGATGGAAACCCCTAAATCTAAGCCTGTAAGACGTAGGTGGTGATCACTTCTCTGAAGTAAGCAAAGCAGGGTAAGGGGCTTAGGGGACGGACTCTTTGGTTAGGATGGCCACGGAAGCTCTTTCTGAGGCAGCCCAGCACAGGTGTGAGGTGAGGGAGCCCCAGCGCCAGGCTGCAAGGCTTTGCCTCTTACTAGCTGTATACCCTTGGGCGAGTTACTGAGCCATTTCTGCAAAATGGGGGTTTATTTAACAACGTTTGCTAAGGGCCAGGTCAGGCCCTGTCCTTTATAATCATTATAGCAGCTCCACAAAGTAAATGAGGTCCTTGGGTGGTGCAAACGGTTAATGTGCTTGGCTGCTAACAGCCAGGTTGGAGGTTCCAGTCCGGAGGCTCCTCGATAGAAAGGCCTGATTATCTACTTGGAAAAAATCAGCCACTGAAAACCCTATGGAGCACGGCTCTACTCTGACACTGGTGGGGTAGCCATGAGTCGACTGCATAGCAACTGACTACTTTTTATTAAGTAGATACTTGTTATCATTTCCATTTTGCAGACAAGGAAGAACAGAGAAGTAACTTATCCAAAGACACACAGCTGGTGAGTAGCTGAGCTGTGGCCTCCGCACCGGTCCCAGTACCAGGTCGGTTATCGGCCAACCGCGCTCGGTGCGGCCTCGCACTCGGCACACGCGCCAGGGCCCTGCTCTGGACGAGGGGCGAGGGGCACGGCACGCAGCAGGCCTGCCTCACCCAACCCGCCCCGCAAGCCTGACATCCCAACACACAAGCCCGCCCGCCTTGCCGTTCGTCTATGCTAAGAGAACCCACACAGCCAGCCTCACCTCCGCTCTCCATCGCGAGATTTCCGGCCACTTAAACACAGACCGGAAGTGGATCCTACCATCCTCTAGGAGGCGGGTGAGAAGGCCTGATTAAAAAAATCACTAAGGAAATGCGCTTCTCGCTGGGACGCACTATCCAGAAATCCACAATTTCATAGCTTTAAGAAATTATTAAATTCTATCACTTCTTGGCTTGTGGGTTCTAAAACTTCCCGTCTGTGTCTTCGAGCTTCCCCCCACCGTCTCCTGGAGATAGAAGTTTCCGAAGGCCGCTGTTCCAGAAGGTACTGTCCGGCGTTAAATTAGTATCGGTTGCGAACTAAGTCTCGTGTTACCCTACTGCGCATGCGCGACGTGTTGCGCTTTCCCGCGAGAGGCCGGCGCGCTAGTTCCTAAGAGGACTCGGCCGGTTGCCGGGAAGTGGCTTTTGCTGCTGCATCATGGCGTCCGTGGGGACCCTCGCTTTTGACGAGTATGGGCGCCCTTTCCTCATCATCAAAGACCAGGACCGCAAGTCCCGGCTCATGGGACTGGAGGCCCTCAAGGTAACGGCACAGGGACCTGCCGGTGGGACGCGGGGAGGCGACGGGTCAGGCGGTGTGTGCCTGCGCAAGCCCGGGGCGGGGTTGC